GTGAAATATATTTATGTTTGTGGTTGTAATGTGACAAAATATGGAAAAGTTCAAGGGGTATGAATACTTTTGCAAACCACTGTATGTGATTTGTCTTATACTGAATCTGACTGGAGTTTGAACAGTGAGGAATAATAATTTGATCTATTGTATTGAACAGAACTGAATGACGGTAMTCTTAAATACAGTGACGGACTAACTCCCCTTCGTTCTTCCCAAGCACAAAGCCTTGTGGGGGTGAAAAATATGTCACCGCTAAAATACCTGCACAACCATCAAAACCAATCAGGGGGAAAACAGTGGACAAAACTGAACCCTGACTCGGTTCCACCAAGTCTGCAGGACTGGACCAAAGTACACACAACCTCCCCTCACCAGTATTTCCTTAGTAAAGGCTACTGAGGGCTGAGTGCACACAAAAATAAACATTCACAAGTTACATAAATGATCTGACTCAAGTAAGTCAATTTGATGTCAAATTAAATAATAATAATAAAGTAGCCRAGGGAGACAATAGGAAACAAAACCTTCTAGCATTAAAGGAAAAGTTTGCTTTGACAAAACGTAGCATTTCCTCTGAAGAAAAAAGTTTTGGTCCTGCTGTTTAAACATGAGAGGTTTCCAGAAATACTGTCCATTGACTTAAAACAGGAAAAGTTTATTCTGATTTCACGACAGTGTGAAAAAAATGCTTAGGTGTCTTTTTATATTGTGTATGTAAACTTCTGGTTTCAACTGTAAACATTTACAAAGTTTACTTTCTGCAAGTGGATGATAAAACTCACCTCATCAGCAAGAAGAGAGAGCTCGCTTGAATCAGCTGCATCATAATCATAAAGGACCTTGGCCTTACGGGTTCCTGTTGCTGGTGCCTGAACTTCCTCGATCTTCAGTGTGTCTGTATCGACCGGGCTGCTGTTGTCGCCTTCGGCTGCAKAGCCTGAAGGCACCATGTGGTGGGTGGAGTTCAGAGCAAAAGCATTGGGAAGCCTGAAAGAGATGAGGCAGACATGAACGTCATGATAAACAAACACGCACACACACAAAAAAAAGTAGCCAAAATTGTGTCAAAGCCTTCAAAACACACTACCTGTCAACAACACACAAACAAAATATGTTAAGCAAACTGCATAACTACGATGTGCAACTCAACACACTGCAGAAAATCCAAAAAAGCAATAAAAACTAATACAACACAATACAATTCAGCATTCAGTTTTGATTTGACACAGAAATTAAAGCCAAACTGCATCAGTTCATGACGACTCAACCAATGCAGTGCCAGTTTCATTGTACCGGTCTGTAAATCTGTATGAAGTGCTTAGTCCTAAATTCCCTGGTAATTATGCTGCTTCATGTTCTCAAGCTCCTCAATTACCATATGACTCACCAAGTATTGTACCTTTTCCAAAAAAATAAAATAAAAAACATTTACAAGATTTAGTGTTGTTCCATATCTACTGCCCCCCACAAACCATTATTTGACAGAGTTTGTCCWGGGCTTTCAACTCACACATGACTGTAAAGACATGCTTGGAAAACAACTAACAGACTGCCTTCCTTTCTGCCACGCTTCAATAAGACCACGACTAATAGTTGTTCACCGGAGCTGGAGTTACCATGCTGCCATGTTAATGCTCTCCTTGCCTCCTACCAGTTAAGGTGGACAGCCATGTCTTGCAGGGTGTGCAGTCCTTCAGGTATTTCTGTTTTAAGTCTGAACAGTGGTCAAAATGATGTTTAAAGCTTGAGATATTTTATAACTGAACTCAGATTTCCATTTCTTAACTTTTTCCTGAAATGTCTGGTGTATTCCTTGGTCTTCATGATGCTATTTGATACGCATCGATCTGCAACCCAATTCTTCGGTGTTCACAAAACAGCTGTTATTATGCTGGGATTAAATTATACACAGGTAGGTTCTACTAATCTGGTGATTTTATATAGCTGAAAGTATCAGAATAAAGGAGACCGAATACAAATGCACTCAAAACCTTTCAGATTTCTATTTGTTATAAAGTAAAAACCATATCAATTTCCTTTCAACTCAGTTATAAGCTACTTTTTGTTAGTCAGTCATAGAAAAACATTTAAAACACTTTGATATGTGGACATTATTTGACAAAGTTCCAAAGGTACATTTGAAAAGCTATGTTAATGTGAATGAATTTGTTTGAACCCATTTGTTAAAACAGGACAAACCCACAATGGTCTCTAAAACAAACTGTCAATAGTAGTACTCGAAATAAATTTACTGAAAATCAACTAAAAGAAGTCATTGCTTTCGAATTGTAGTTCAACAGAATTAGATAAAAAAAAAAATTAAACTGGCCTTGACAAAAAAGAAGGTAGCCCAGAATAGATGAAAATAGTTAAAACCACAGGGACATGTCAAACTAAGTTGTGTCCTAAGTCACAGGTGTCTTTCATTTTGTAGTCAGACTCTGTAAAGTTGTGATCATGGTGCACACTGGACCACAGAAAGAAAAGTAGATACCGAATAGCGGTAACATAATGACCCCCGCACACACAAATGCACCAGAACTCAGAAGTCTTTATTCCTAATAAATGTCACGCTATTAGATGCATCCCAAAATTGTAGTGGTTTGAGTGGGGGTGTTTTTGTGTGTGTGTG